GGGGGGGGTCGCCTGCTGACAAGCAGGAGGGGGAGTTTTAGCAGCGATGACGGGGCGCGACTCTCGGCCAGCCGCCATCGGACTGCACCGAACCACTGGCTCCGCGCAACCGACGGTTTAGTCGGCTGGCTCCGTTTGGCCCACGAGCGTGAAACCAAACTCAACGCGGCTCGTTCAAATGTACAGGAACAGGCTATAAAAATTAGAGCGGTTTGTTTCGAACGAAAAACGAGCCGGCACACTGCACCGCTGTTCGATAACGAAAAGACTCAGGGCATTTCAATCCGTTCCGCAAACTTGTTGCAACGTAATAACTGAGGTTCTTACCTTCATTAAAGTTGTCCGACTTATATCCTCGTGCTCGCATGTGATACTGAGCTCCTTCAGCCCATGCATCCCCCGCAGACCCGCAGTATCCTCTCCACCCTGTAGTGCTACTTCCAGCCGGTTGAGGTCACTGGGGCAGTCGTTGACGAGCGGTAGAAGTTCTCCCCGAAATATCCGCACGCAGCGCAGCTGTCCTCTGTAAACAAGTTCAGGGGCTCAGACAGCGTGCACCGGAAACCCAAGTGAGTGGAATGTCGCACACTTGCAGGTGTGTGAATATCATTCGAAAACACATGGTATAGACAATATCTGTTTTTATTTTACAGGAATAGAGAAAACTTTGAGGAATTCACATGACAATTCAGCTTATCATTGTGCGTACAACACATTACCCTGAGGATAACTCGGCTTATCCGCGGATTAAGAACCGAAAAATAGCAAGTTTACGGCCGTCCGCAGCCGTCCGGGGACCTCCGGTCGGCCAGCCCTGGCGCTCCAGCCGCTGCGCTAGCAGTGACCGGCCGCTGGCCCGTGTGCTCTTGTCTCTCTCACCCAAGGCGGCGACCACCTTGGCGGCGACCCTGCGATGGTCGGATTGAGGCAACCGGAAACCAGTTTCAGCCTCGGTTTACTTCCGGTCCGGATTTATCACGGGTTACTTCCAGATTACCCCCGGATTAGCACAGGCCGGCGCATTACCCAAGTCGTTTCTCCCTCCGGTCAATGCGTACCTGTGCGCTCGTAGAAGCGAGCCGAAGACTTCGAGACATTCGACGGTTGCTTCGAAGGTCACGGTGTGCATCCTGGGCAGCAACACCTCCTGCGGACACGGACATGGTACAGTCATTCCTCGGTTATCTTCCTGGTTTTGGGCTTCGCCTCGGAAGATAGTCGAGGAAACACAGGTAGGCCCCGGGTACCGCGCCGGGGCGGCGCCGTGACAGGTGACGAGCGCTCCGGCGGCCGGCGAGCAGGGGATTAGTGACCCTTGGGGAGAGGTCTAAGTTGGTCCGTTCGCCTGTTCCGATCGAGTTGTGTTCTGTTCGAAAACCGTTCATTATGTTCATTGCATCGTATTGCTTTTTAAAAAACATTTTTATACGTCCAAACCGCATGTCTAAATTCCAATTTTTAGGCTTTTAGCCGTTATTTGGCAACCTGGTGAAAAGTTGTCAAATAACGGCTAAAAGCCTAAAAATTGGAGTTTAGACATGCGGTTTGGACGTATAAAAATGTTTATTAAATAGCAATACGATGCAATGACCATAATGAACGTTTTTCAAACAGAACGTACTTTGATCGGAACAAGCGAACGGTCCGGCTTAGACCTTTACCCGCCGGTCGCTAATCCCCTGGCCGCCGGTCACCGTTGCGTCTCGTCACCTGTCATAGCTCGGCCGCCCCTCGCCCGACTGCCTGGAGTGGTGGGGATGGGTCTCGGAAGATAACCGCGGGGAAGAAAACCGAGGAATCACTGTAGATGCAAAGTTGACGTTGGTGGCAGAGTCTGGTGCAAGCGTCGCCGCCACTTACCTGCATCCACGGTCCTAGTTGTGGACCACTGAGAGGTCGCAGTTCTAGATGTTCCAGGGCGCTCCAGAAAACGGCCCGCAGGGCGTTTAAAATCAAGTCCAGTGGCACGACGCCTCTGAAATCGAGACGCCTCACCATCGGAGCCATCACCCTGAGGGCGCTAGTATCAATGAAATTACCCATCCACATACTTATACACAAAGATCGGCAGGGGGCGTAGGTGTTGCCGACGAGGACGGAGGGCTGTACGACATAAGAGGGTGGGTCAAAGCAAATGGTATCCCAAAGAAGCTCCAACCACTCTACGGGAGGAGCCACCCTCAAAAGCTCCCAGACTTCTTCGTTGCTCTTGAGGGAGACATAGTTGAAGTGGCGCCATAGCCACGGGTGTGCCCGCGTGAGCGCGGCGAGCCGCAGGCAGGTGCGGCCGACGGCCATCAGGTCGCTGGAGGGCAGGAAGGACAGCACCCTGAGCAACGGCAAGTAGGGCAGGTCCGGCAGCAGGAGGGCCTGCGGGCAAGAGCGGCAGGGACCGTCAACAAAACACGCCCTTCTCACGGATTACCGCCGCCCCCCCAATAATAAAATCATCCGATCATCATAGCTTCGTGCCCTGGGATGTCACGTTTCTCGGCCGAAGGAAAACCGAGGGGAAAATGTTTGTCTCACGATTTTTTAGGTTATTGTGACCTTCGACAAGAGAGTTTAGTCTCTCGCCTACGGGGGCACGACTTTAGCAGATGTGAAGCCACTATGGTGTGGCGTGGCGATGTCATATAATAAACGCCACGGTGAAGGGCACGGTCACGCTGAGAAACACGTTCTCCTTCCGGACACAACCATCCCGTACTCTGCATAAAATGTCGCAGGCTGACATTGACAACCCCCTCCCCTTGTTGACTGTATATGGTCGGGGCCTAAATATAGCTCACCCAAAGTCGACTGTTCTATAAATCCACATTGGAGGAAAAGGGCATAAAGGAAAAGACCAGATCGAAACAACAAGAAAAATCCTAACCTACTCTCCGAAATTTAAATGTATCTTTTATAGTACTGATTCCACAAAGAGGTAAGGTGCTGCTCGGTACTACATACCTCCTCATGACGGTCCGTGGCGTTGGCTGCTTCAGAAGTTGTGCTGGGTTGTGACATCTTGTTCGCTCTTCCTAGGATTTCGTTTGATGTTTCCCTTGTCACGCAACCTAACCTAAACAAGTTTACAACACACAACTTATAGTCCCAGACCGTTCACTACGTGGAGATATAATTACAGTATTGCTGATTCAGTACAAACTATTCATTTGCCTGCTACCCTTGCCGACCCTCGCATGGTACTTAAATTATCAAAATCAAAATAAGTACAAAGCCAGCACTTACAGTTGTCCCATGAAGGCAGATAACAAAAACAAAAACTCATGAAAACAAACTGAAATGGTTTGTGCAGCCGAAGTTGTCAGCCAGATCGTCTGTTGTTGTCGTAGTGCCAATAATTGGACTTCGTTGTGCCGATAGTGACACACAGTAGCCTGTCTGTATAGTCAGTTTAGTTTAGTTTCGAACGTCGGACGTTGACGCTGCGACATATGGTCGCGTCTCAAGTAACGTGTTCGCGCCGCGTTCTATGTGCTCGGTGTGTAAAAAGTTTTATTTTCAAAAATTCAAAACGCTTCAAAGAAATGTGCGACTTTGTGTGAAACTCTTCTTTGGACAACTCTCGACGATCATGAACCGAAAGTAGTGCTGCGTGAGTGAAATGAATGCAACAAAATATTGTGTTCGTTGTGTAATGTACAACATAAGGCCGCGGAGGTTATGGCGACCGGCCCAGACTCAGCCAGCAGCAGGGGTTCTATACGAGACCGTTGCTCTGAAGGAAGATTACAGGTGAGTGTTTCAAGAAAAAAAGTTGTGATTATAGTTGTAAATGTGGAAAGCATGATGATAGTGAAGATGATTCGGCCCTGCCAATACAAAACAGTGAAATAAACATTCACAGCCACCGATTTGCTCCAAAATCGGTATAGGTCTAGTTTATAAGGTTAGATAGAGATCCACTAAAAAGATGGTATCCGCAGCGCATAGCGCATCTCAATCCGTTTTGATGCTATAGCCGGGCGCAACGTGCCTAGTCCCCCGCCCCCCGCCAACCCCAACCCCTCTTTTTCTTCAACCGGCCGGCACATCGATTCGAACGTGCATCGGCATCGGCGGCAAATTCACCTCTGTTGAGTTAGAAATTCGGCCTCAGTCAGTCGCCCGCAGCCCAGCCCGTTTTTCCTTTTTCTCGGATGTGGTTGAATGAAAGAATAACCGTGTGCTACCGAACGGGTGACAAGTCCGGCCTCGACGGGTGAGAAATACTCGGGGATATGAGATGGAGGCGCGGTCGCGCGCGGGCCCCGGAGGAGGCGGAGACGCCTCCATTTGTGCGCGTCGCGTTGGGGTATGATGAAGCCGTAGAGGAGGCTGGTGACCTCGCCCCTCGCCTCGCCCCTACCCCTTCTGGAGACGCCTGGAGCTGGAGCCACGGCGGAGGTGACAATAAACTCCAGTCGATCGTTGGCGCCGCCGCCGGACTGACTGGACAAGTGGCAGCTTCCCCTCCCCCCGGTCCTCCTCAGACTCTCTTTCGCACTCTCCAAATCGTTCAAATTCGACTTTTCGGAAGGGGGGGGGGGAAGAGAATGGAGTTCTCTCCATGGACTTGACTTCGTCGCGGTGCCGTAAAGGCCTCTGGTTTGACTTGGAAATTCAAAGAAGTTTCCCTCCCCGGCCGCTGCGCGCCGCCACCACCCCCCCAGGCCACGCCTGGGCAGAATGCAGAAACGGAGCGGCGTCGGGCGCCGGCGGCGCGGAGGTGTGCGTGTGTGCGAGGGAGAGCAGGGATGCGACCCGCGGGAGGCTGGAGAGAGAGGGAGGAGGGGGGGGAAAGGAAGCTGAAAACGCGGTTCTGTTCAGTTTCTCGCTCAGTGGGGGGGGGGGGGGGGGGGGGGTGTAGCAGAAGTGAGAGGGGTTGAGGTGTCTGGCCCGCTTCCCACATGGACCGAATGACGTGGGCTTTCAACTTTGTAATAAGATTTCACCATTAATTTGGTACGCGGCCCGCTCAGCGCCTGCTCGCAGCCACTCAGCGTGGCGGGGCGGGGCGTGGCGGGGCGGG